GTGTGAGTTACCGCTGTAAGAGAGTTTGGGGTGTGGGCTCCAGCTGCCTGAGAGCCTGGAGTGTGAGATACCCCTGTTCGAGGGCTGTTGCTCGCCGCGTTGTCAGGAATCTCTGAGTCACAGCACCTGGGCGGTGGGGTGGGGCACCTGGGGATCTTTTCAGCGGTGGGGTGGTGCCTGTGGGACTCGTGGGGTGTTTTTTTTTTTAAAAGGAGATTCCCGTGCTCTTTGAAGAGTTCCGTAAACATTTCATTAAAGTCCAACAGTCACGTCTTTATTCTTTTTCATGCCTTTGTTTAGGGAAAGGCAGGAGCGCCTTTTTTTAAAGGGTTCCCCGGCCCCCCCCCAGCCCAGTTTGGAATCGGCAGCTGTGTGTCCAGGTGTGAGCCCCCCCCCCAGGTCTTTTCGATCCCTGTGCCCCGCTGGAGAGAGCAGCCTGTCTGACCTGTTCGCTGAGCTTGTTCGGTCATCGGCTCGTGGATCATCTCCAGGTGGCGCGCTGGCTGGCTGGCTGGCTGGCTTGCTCCATGCTCCCGCAACTCTCTGTGTCAAGGGGCACCTCCTGCTGGGTCTGGAGGAGCCCGCTGGGCCGACTTCGTCCGTGGCCTTTGAGGTCTTTGCGATGACAGCCCGCTGTGTCCTGATCCGGACCTGAACCAGAACTGACTGGGACCTGACCTGGACCCAGTTTGGGCCGTCGAAGTCAACCCCCTGTCAGCAGGCAGAGTTGGGGTACACCTGTGGTGCCCCAGTTTTCTGCCTGTATTGACAGTGCCCACACTAGGCAGGGGTTATTGGCAGCTACCAGAGCATTGAGTTTTTTATTATTATTTATTAATGATTCGGTATTTGGCTGATGCTTTTAGTCAAAAGGACTTATGTGTACTCATTTATACCACTGGGTATCTTATGCAATGCCTCAGGGGTACTGCAGCTGTGCCTCCTGCTGGGATTTGAACCCAGAACCTCCCAGTGACAAGTCTCGCTGACCCCCCAATTCTCTCGCTCCAGCCCCCCTCCTGCTGCCCCTCTCCTCCCACTTGCCCCCCAGCGAGGGGGACCCCGCCCAAGGCCCGCGGGTCTGGCTCCAGGCGGAGTGGGTCGAGCAGACTGGGCCTGCTGGTTAATCCAGGGCGCAGCCCGGGCGTGGCGCCCTGCGGTGGCGCTGGAGAGGGGAGAATGAGAATAAGACGCTATTGCGTAGTCCAGTATATAATAACGTTTGTACTGTATAGTACAGCCAGCTTTACTACAGCACGTTATTGTATAGTACAGTATATTGTAGTATCACATAGTTCAGTATACTACACCATTTGTATTGTATTACACATTCCAGAAAGAATAGCATGTTATTGTATAGTTCAAGTAGGGGGCTGTGTCAGCATGCATAGGCTGCTAAGGAACCAGTAAAGGTTTATTCCAGGCTGAAAAGAGAAGGAAAGAAACACAACGTTTCGGCTGTGGAGCCTTCTTCAGGTGTGGCTCTCTTCTCTTTTCAGCATGGAATAAACCTTTACTGGTTCCTTTGCATGTTATTGTATAGTGCGGTATATTATTGTATCACATGATCCAGTATACCATACCATTTATATAGTATTGTATTACACAGCCTAGTGTAGAACAGCATAGAGTACGACGTTATCGCGTAGCGTTCGTACTGTATAGTACAGCCAGCTTTACGACTGGGTGTTTCACCACGTGCACTGTGGAATATGGCCCAGTACAGCAGGCTACAGCATAGCTGTGGACTGCGTCATTGGCTCCAGTCTGTCCTCTGTTCCTCGCCAAATGGTGCTGTAGCTCCTCACGTGCATCGAATTAGCAAACTGCTTTCCCTACACTGGAATGATTCCGGGTGGGGGGGGGTGTTCCAAAACTCTAGTTTCTTTCTTATCGGGAACCCTGGAGGAAATCCTTCAGGAAGGGCTGCGAAACAGCCGCCCCACGGCAGACACACAAGAGGACTGGTTCAAAGGCCCGATGGAAGATCAGGTTTATTACTGCCGTGTTAACTTTTGCAGAGTGTAAGCTTACACCCACAGTGTACTGTAGCAACTATGCAGGAGATACCACAGGCTTGCAGGCACGCACAGTGAGCACAATAGCTCTTACTCGAACACTGCCACGCCTTTCCCATGAGTCACCTCCCCCCAGGGCTTCGCTGGGCCTGAACACTCCTGCTGAGCGCAGGCTGCAGAGAGCTGATC